GTCAGATGGCCTTTCTAAAGCAAAGGGACATGGGGACACTTGTGTATCCAAAACTATTAGAAATTTGGCAGGATCTCCCACTGCATCCAGTGAGAATAATTCCAAGTCACCTGTATATTATGTGCATGTCCTAAGCTCGGCAAACTGTGTGTCTAAGATAGAAGAAGAAATGTGAAGTCATTTGGGGATAGAATATGTCGCAGGATAGTAAAGACGCCGACTGTTTACCTGGCAGATATTGCTGCATTCTCCAGGTTACTTAATATTGCGAAGTAGTAAAAACAACGCGATAAATTTCCATTCGTTTTGTAGACGTGTCACCTTAATGACAAAGTGCATTTTAAGATTTACCGCCGGTTGCACAAACGTATATGCAACCCAGTGAGAGAACTCAAGCTTGTCTTGCTCTCACACTGGAATCGCTCGACGTCGGTTTGTGGTGCGTATCAAAAGCCAGAACCCAAAAGATTGCTGAAGCTAACTGTGCTATGTTTGTGTACATACTTCCGGCTGCACAGGTCTGGTGATTTACAGGTCGCTGTGGCAGGATGTGCGGGACTCGCTGGGAGGTTTTTCGCTTGATTAGATACAATGTGACAGCATTCACCATGTGTTTCATTTGAAAAAATTTGTGGAGGATCCTTGCAAGCGGCAGTTTGGCCAATTTCACTTTGTCCTGCCCGCCAACGGCCCGAAAAATTGAAAGTTTGATACCATCAAAGAAAACGTGGTGCCATGCCATGGGGTGCAGAAATTGACATCCACGTGTATGCATATTTTAGAAACGTCGGCGCACTTGAGAGTAAATTCTGGTCGAATAGGATTGGATTCGTTATACGCGGCCAATGACTATCTGTGTGCTGAACAAAGTCTACCTTCATGCAATGAGTTCTCCTGGTCACCTTCCTCCGAATTTAGCTTTCGGCGTGGAACTATCAGGTCTTTGGGGTACTGAAAATTTTACTGCGAAGTTTCACTGATTGAATCTCGAAGAACGCTCCTCGTTGCGTCTAGTACTATTGGACCGGATGAGTTATCATATGTTAAGTCAAACGAAGTGTGTCTTCGACGGTGAAGCCTGATGGATACGAAATGCTGTAGAAACTGAAGAGGTCCACAATTTCGGGAACGTCCTGAGATTATTCCAGTTGCTACGTGCACCTGTTCTCAGGAAATTGTCAGTTGGCCAAACCACCAAACCGATCAATGTCTCAGAATACTTTTACGTCGTTCATTGTTTGCAATGGTAGGAAGAATCAGGTCCTACAAAATGCGTTGTTACCTAAAAAATTGTTTTTTGTTCACATGGAGCCCAGGTAATTGGGCCAGTGGGATATTATATACGCGCGTGTCCGCCACCAGAGCATTCCAGATACAATGCACACAACACATAAACGAACAACTATTTTAATTCAAAATATAACTGCCGTCTTAAATTTGATGTTTTACTCGTACACATCGGTGTGAACAATGGGAGGATGTTCTAGGAATTTCGGTGCACCAATGATGAAACGTCATCATACCAGAAACTCACCTTAGTTTTCATGAAACTTTCAGGTGGCAACAGATTCTTCTTATTTTACTGAAATTTTTTCTCGGTGAATTGTATGGCCTCCAATCTGTGTAATCAAACTAATGTCAGCGGCGGATGTGAAAACGTGGATTGCCTTTGAGGAACACCTGTTATTTGGTTGAAAATATCGGAAGGTTTTCCACCACATGCTGCAAAATCTGTCGGTGCCCCTCGCATAGTGTCACCGGGAATCTCACGAAAATTTTGTTTCTTTTATTACAACCTGCTCCAGGTGCACGTCTTGTGCTTGCACTGAAGGAATCACATATACACTGGAATAAAATGAGGGCAAATACCATTGCAAAGCATTTTACCGCACTGCTTACTAGATCTCAAAATGGAAATCGCATGTTTCCATCCTGTGATGAACGCAGTGGAATTACCCGAAGTTAAAACGGCAACCACGTTTCAGCTTGCTTTTCGTGTGCTCCTAGGGCACTCCATTACGGTATCCAGAAACATTTTCGTAAGTTTTCGAGATAGTGCAATACTGTGGGGGCTGGATATCCTTGAGGTTGTATATGTCGGGGAAATGGCGGGTGTTAGCTTTCAGGCGGACAACGTGAAAGCTAAACTTCAGGCTGGAAGGTGGAATGCCGCGTCCACTACGACATTGGATCGAATGGCTCACTCGAAATTAAATACCATTCTTCTGAACAGGCCAGGTTGAAAGAAATCTGCAGGTCAGGACGATCAAGGATGTACACTAATTGGTTTATATCACCAGCAGATAAACTAATGTATCTTCATTTACGACCATGATAGGCAAAAACAGCAAGCATGCTTGATTCAACACATTCTCTGGTAAGGCCAATCGGTTGTCACCCCGCAAAAATGCAAGGAATGCGTCATGTCGGTCCAAAGTATTGCTTTCTGTCAATATTGCTTAAGGTTAAACTAGTGTACACAGGTAAAAGGAAGAAGGACTTCGCAGCGGAGTTTTTCTGTTTGAAAACTCCAATAGAAGATTTACAAACTATGGGACAGGGGATCAAAACTCTCGTGAGCATCTTGTTTATAAATAACTAAATATCCGTCTCGTTCTCAAACGCTTCCTACTGATCTATCCTGGTTATTCTTTGACTATTACTCAAGGGTAAACAAACACCTCAAACCAGTTCCACAAATTCCTTGCTACGTCTCACTTTCCAATAGAGGTGACGCGGGTTTGCTAGAAAACATGCTACTTGCATGAGTCATAAGTAGTATAAATCTCCACGCCTCTTCTGGTGTGATTGCCTCTGCATGCCTCTGATATATATTTATCTCCGTTAGGTGGGCTCCAGCAGCTGATCTGTCCGGCCGCTCTTAGGATGTATCATGCCACTTACGAAGCTGCGTCTCATTTACTCGTTTTGATCCACAATCTTTTTGATTTTATAGACATTCCCCCGGCGTTTGGTGACGGGAAGCGGACCTTGTCATCGAATTCCCGAGATTTTGATGGTCCTTTACTTGACCTTTGCGCCCTTGAATTATGGTAAATACTTTCTACCTGCCGTTATCCGCCTGGTCTTCTCCTTAACAGCGGTCAAGTTTTCTCAAGCTGCCCTATTTTCTCCCTCTAGCTCCCCGGAGATAAACCCATTTCGTGAGCGGCCGGATGGCGCAAATGTCGATTGGTCAACTCAGAGGAGAACTTGCCTGTGGTTGGCTCTATGAAAACATGACAAGCTAGCAACTCCATTGGCGGGTTCACCTCCTTTGGCCGCCAGCCAGGATTGGAGCATTCGGTTATTACGTTCGGTTAAAGCACTTGCTTGTGGGTGGTATGGTAACGCCTTTTGTCGTCTGATACCCGGCTTCTGCAAGAAATTACTAAAATCTTTGCTCTCGAAGCAAGGCCCATGTTGTGCTAGGATCATTTGTGGCACTGGACGGTTGGCCAGGATGTGGTGCATTTACACTACTCTGACCGTCGTTGTCCGTTGATTAAGCAAGCCTGACGCCTCGATTCACCGCGAGAAGTGTGTTGTCATTTTCCCGATATACACATTTTTGCTGGTCGCCGCCGGAAAGGCGTCCTTGATACCAGCGGACAATTGCTCGCCCATTTCCCCAAAGAAGGAATGGGTTACATGGGATGAATTCCCTCTGCCGCGTCCCCTTCATTGGGTAGCACTGTTTACGGGATACTTCATAACACATCCCCTCGCTTCCCATCCCGGTCCAGTAGGCCACCTGCTGAATTTTCGTAAATATTGATTCACCCTCCTTATGCCACTGAACAATAAATTTGTGTCTCAAGGCGCGAGGTATCATGGGGAAAACAAAATCCAGAAAATTATGTCAGCTTCAATCAGCTGGAGTGCTTCCAGTTCCGTGTCTAACTCTCCGTTCTCAATAGTGCCTCCTTTCAGCAGGCCGGTGTCAAAACTACATAACACGGGATCATGTCGCTGGAGTTGCACCAACCTTCCGAGATGCAGGCCAACGATGAGGCTTTTAGAACCAATCATGGTTCCAAGGGACTCATATTCAGCGTTTGGTCTTCACGGCCAATCAGGCATGTGGGTCTCCTACCCTGGCACGTCCTACACTTCCGACTGGATCGATCTTCTCCCGAGGGTCTTTGCTGGTCCTGATTCACCCCAGAGGTTTGGAATCGGTTTCAACATGAAATCTTTGTCCAAGAAGATATGGCCTTTACGTATTCAGGGCCCATACGGTCGTTAAACATTCTTTCTCAATGGTCGAGTGCTTCCGTTCGGCCTTCGTCAGTACACCGCATGCATATTCGAGAACTCCCTTCCTCTGCTTGGGACTGCGCCGATACCACGATCACTACGGACCGTTGCAACACTGGACATCTATCCTATTGTGGGTAGTTTGAGAGTCATTTGGTGATTGGACATCTGCGTTCTGACAGGCTCGATAGGCTCATGTGCTTTTCCGATTTCCGATTTTGCCCGAACAAGTTGTACAGTGGAGAAGCAGTCGTGTTGATATCCTCAAAAAACGGGCTGTAGCACACCGCTCGTCCAAGAAGCTACCGTGAAAACCATCTGGAATTCGGAACAGCACAGATTTTAATCCTTGCCAATTTATCTGGCGATGGGCTAAACTTTCCTTCACCCAATGTATGCCTGATCAATGTCACCGAATTCCGAGCGAGCTGTGATTTGGCTTCATTTATCCACAGGGTAGCCCCCCGGATATGCCTCAATATAGCCTTCAAGAAAACTGCGTGCTCTGTTTCCGCCTTAGCGATATTCCTGCTCCTGTATCAATCACGCACAGCTCTTCCTTTCCGTTCACCTCAATAACGCTTATATGGTAGCCTGTGCCGCTGCGCTTATCGCAACCCTTTCGGGAATATATGAGGAATCGAAAGTTTCACCATGAACTATCGGTCGAGTACGAGGTCATTGATTCTTCCAATGACCAGGCACGACACACACGTAACATGAGCCCGTTCAAGCGTGCCCTACGAATCCGTCTTGACGGCTGCAGGCTGTTCGGTGAGTTGGTTTACTTTGTTCACTGTTGAATCTTCTCTGTTCTCTTGTAAAATCGACACTAAAACATGGTCAGCGTCGTCCCAGCTAACTCCAGTGCCAGATTCACCAAATGCTCCGCACTCAACTGACCAGTTGTTCTCGTCAACCACAGCTGGGCAGGAAGTGGGAGTTGCAAAAAAATGTTTTACTGTCAAACAACTCAGCTCGTAACTCGGAGGCACTCTCACGGGTTATGTTTTCAGACACAAGACACCAATTAGGTGCATTTTGAATGGTTAGGATAGAAAGGTTCAGTCCAAAATTTTAACAAATATATAGTTAATATGTGTGATTTACATACATGGTTTACATACTTGATACATATATATGACTTACATGTATGCGTGTTTGAGTAGTTTATTCACTCCAGATGGGCTTCACGCCAAACGTCCATTCATAATATTTATTTTCAATTGAATCACTCCCAGTTTGGTTAGTATCCTTAAGAGATCGGAAAAATTCTCCAACGATTTATACACTTCGTCATAAGTTAAAAGCCGAAGTATTTCTTCAGTGTCGCGAATATTTTGAACTAACAACACACTTAATGCTACAATGCTCAGTGGTTAGGAAAAGTTAACATTTAGTAAGCCGTTGTGATCCTTAAATTTTTGGCAGAATGATTACTGTTTAATTTCGGATCTCCTTCGTCTGACATTTGTATTTACAAATATTCTGTCTAAAAGTGCACGTAAATTATTACATCTCAGTACGTCCCTGATTTGTCTGACATTCAACGGTCAACTTAATGTTAATTAGTTCTCTACAATATCGTTGAATTACGCTGTCGAGCTGGCTTCCATGCAGATTGAATGACCTACCTAATTCCAGAATCATGTTGACAACTGGCTATTTGTCCGGGAATGCTGGCCGCCCATGGAACATATTTTGAGTGGTCGATCGTTCGGCTATCCAGCCTAGATCGCTTTCTCCGAATCTTCAAGTTAACAAAAAGTTGCTCACCCTTCAGCACGTTGCTTATTACGGACCATGTGTTTGCTGTTTGTTAAATCTCCGATGTTAGGGAAATTCTGTTTCCTACATCACCAACGAAGCAACAGGGATTACTGTGCACAAAGAGAAATCGATTCCTTTGAATCTGTAACTCTTTTGATACCAGAGCCTTTTAAACAGCTTGAGATAATGCCGATCCATTTTGTTTTGGATTCTTTTTGATAGCATCTACTTCCACGGGGTAAATTCTAATAATAAATGACCACGTTGGACTGGAAAATCCAAAGTCAAAACATCCTGATGCCGACATCAAAAATTCACATGGTCCTTCTATCACATAAGCCACATGTCAAGTGCAAAACAGTTTGATTTTGGTAAACTACCACTAGGAGCTTAAGTGTTCATGAATCTAGAGAATTATGGCATCTTTATGAAAGTTATGGTTTAGTCGGTGCGTCGTTTTCTAGTCAAAAGTTGAATGAAACGAGGGTGTCCTCATTACCACCCCATGAGTTTTATCGCACTATATTGACACTAAATTGGCCCTCCGTCAGTAATGCCACTCTCGGATAATCATCGTTCTCGTGGTTTAGGTTTGAGCGTGAAAAAAGCGAAGTAGTGCAATGAAACACAATCTCGGACGGCATTCTGGACAAGAGCTGGGCGGATGTATAAATAGAGAGCAGAATTACGTTCAGTTTACTCAACGAGATAACCAAAATTGAAAGGTGGTTAAAAATACAGGACAGCGGGTGTTCACAGATAAACAATACATAGATTGTGCACATTTGGTCCCAGATTGCGCCATGTTGAAACGAATTCTTTCTCCGTTTGAAAAACCCGAATGGATTTTCACGATATGAAAAATATCTGGAGTGAACAACATAATTGCCAGTATATATTGTGATGAATTTCGTTGTACAGCATCAATAAGCAGATTGTAATTATTACATTCGACGTTCCTCCGTCGACAGGGGTCATCAAATATGTCGTCACGAATGCGTCATTTAATATTTCCTTGATGATGTCATGGATCCTTACGCAATTGCTGCTTTGCTTATTTACCTTTGTATTATGAAAGAAGAACGTCAGAGCTCAACTGATTTTAAAGTTGGTGGACTGGTCTCTGGTTCATCTAAGTTATTCTGACGTCATGTAGTAGTAATGGCTTTATCAATTTACTTGCACCCTAAAAATGATCATTTACTGCTAGGTTATCACACTGGTACCGGGTGAAAATCTCATTTGTGATAGAAGTAAACAAGAATTCGAAACAACAATCCCTATCTGACCTTTATTACATGTCAAAGGGATTTGAGGACGCCCCGTTCTTCATTCAAAATGGTAACAAGTGTCCTGCATAAGTAATGTTGGGCGTTTGCTCGTCCAAATATCCGGGTGATTTTTTAGCAAGCTTTTCGACTAGACTGAATATCGGGAATTACTGCTACCTTCCCTTAATTGAATACCTGAGTCTCTGAGGGCGTGTTCTGGAGTATTGTGTGGCATTGGCTTGTCAAATTTACTAGATGCTACAGGTAGTTGGGGAGAATAAGAACTTGGGATTGGTTACGGAATGGCCACTGGGGACATGCGTGCGTAGAATGCTGACTCGCGAATAAGACGTACGACAACACGCGCTAGAATTAGCCCGATTTAAGTAATAGATATTTGGTTGCAACGCCTTTATTTTACACACAGGAATGATGCGGATTTGAATGCAAACTGTACACCAATCACGCATGAAATCTGCTTTAGACGCACCGTTAAGTAATAGCCGATAGTGTGGATGCATAAAAGGATGTACGTGTATAACATTTAGAATAATTAGGACGCACAGACTACAGCAAAATACTGTGCACCCAAATCAGTGGATGTTTGTTTTTATTCACGGTTACGGTTCGCCACGGCAGGGTAAGGCCCAAATCGATACAGATGTGAGTGAATTCCCTCGAAGCAGCGGCCTAAAGAAAATCCAGTTAAGTTGACAATCTTCAATTAAAATCATCGGGAGAATGTTTGTCACGAATATATTTTCCCTAAAACATTCTAAGTAGACGTGTATTACTCGCTGTCGCTTGCTGAACTCTGTTTTTCCGGTGCCCTTTCTTATTTCCGAATGCTTCCAATCTCATGGTTTTTGTTATTCCACCTTTCACCAGGTTTTAGTTTTAACCCCATAAATGGGAATAATTAAACGTTTGGGGGATTGTTAATCGAGAGACTAGAGGTTGTCAAACAAGAAAAAATATCAAGATATTTAAGTTATTTTCCCAGGCGTCATACACCATTCAACAGCAAGACAACATTGAATAAGGCAAAAATAGCAAGAAGACAAAAAGACATTGCTTTTAGCAACGTGCTGTTAACGCTAGTTAGAAGTTAGATAGAATTATTTAGTTTGCTAAGCAGGATGGACCGTTCCAACAAGTGCTTGCCTTCATATAACTAGGAAAGTAATTACTCGAAATGCTGCCCTAGATGTTTTGGGTAAATTTTAATCTATTGATATGGCGAATGTATTTCACGAAGTTGAATTGCTTCGTGTGAACAAAACAAGCTAACGTTAGCACAGTAACACAATTTAGCTGGGCTATAAACGGTTCAGCGTTTTCCTGGAAAATTTTCTTTTCTTGCTTACTGCATTCACTCACAACAAAATTTCGCATGGAAAGTAAATGTTCTTGCATGTGAGAGCAAACTGTACCAAAAGAACTCTACTTTTGCTAGGTCCTATGTGAGACTCATTGGTACACATTTTACAAGTCAACGTGAGCCAAATTTTGCTGCGTTTTGATCGGTTTACTTTCGTGATGAAGTAATGAACCTTGTTGATGGCTTTGAACACAATCAACAAAGCTACCTTGCGCAAAGCATGTTCATTGGCTAAAGTGATAACCCAAAATTATCATTCAGCTGTGGCGTCGCTTTCAAAGTTCTCGACTGCCTAAAGACAAAAGGCTACCCGGACTTCGGTAACCACCTCAAATTTTTATTTTGTCGCACAGGTTCATGGGTCGTCTAGTAAAGTTTGAATTAAAACCTGTCATTGCTAAATCTCCCACGAAGGTTTCGTATTTCAAGGAATTCGAACTATCCTGTAAAGCACATGAGCATTTTAAAATTCTCTGGTGGCAACTTTTGATCATCAGCAGTTCACATCTTACGAAAACTGACGGTATCTCGAACCCAAAGTCCTACTTATAAATAATTCTAGAAATTGACGTGGATATTCATCCACTTTGATAGTCGGTTCGTTTAGCGGAATCACTTCACTTGTGAATGGAACGATATATAAAATCGGGCAAACTAAATCAAACTAGACAAGAAGCTATATATGTCAAATGAATGACTAAACGGAGCCATCTTTGAGAATTCTCAAGTAATGATGTATATAACTGCACCTGCAGACTAACATCTGGCTCCATATGTATTCCGTATCGTACCGGTGGTACAACTGGTTTCATCATTTTGATTGTAGGAATACGTTGTGTTCTCCGTGTAGAAATGTCCACAGAGTAAGTGCAGTAGCGTCTCCCTGGTCGTTTCCGACCACCAGTGTAATTCCTCGCATGCCGAAATGCTAGCAGTTTGACTTTCTCAATGTATTTGTATCACGTTTAATTCGTAAAGAAAGAACTAGAAGTACAATTTGCATTCCAGGCTTTATATTACGGCCCGATCGATACCCTTCGTTACCTATTAATCATACTAGATCACAATTAATCATAAATTGACAGTACGTATGACAAAAGATATTTACATGACACCAATTAAAACTTGGCAACAATATACGTAACTGGCCCAGATGTGTGCTAGTCTGTTATTGGCCCGCAACTGTTCGAACGAGAAGTCGGCAGGAATCGAGGGTAATCCGGATTAAAACATGGTATTATACATATAGAAGACACACGACAAAAGGCAACTTTATAATGCTATAATGGAATCTGGTAACAGTGAATAGCTGATGCAAACTTTTAACCCCAGATTTGTTGAGCCAAATTGATTGGTAGATTGTTATTTATTCTTACATGTGGACGCAAACCTGGCCAATATGGACGTATGTGTACCACTTCCAACAGGAATGAAAGAAACCATTCATCAAGTATTCTTTAGGCGCGGTACGGCGTAACGAATATGGTGAATTACGTCATGGTA